CTGCAATATCACGGTTTTCTGCTTGGAGTCAATTTACTCGCCGAGTTTCCGTTTTACTCGACGAGTCACTCAAGATTCTACTCTCATGATTCGGATTTTGGGCACATTCGCTGCAGTTTTTACTCATATTATCATGAAGATTAATTCCTGGAGATTTCTGAGAGCTTTTTCCTTAATAATTGGAGCTATTTAGATGTTTTGTCACACGAGATTCGACACCCAAGACATGGATGAGCTGTTCCCATGTCTAAAGTCAATTGAAGATGGAGCTTAAAGAAGATCAACCTCGCCACTATTACATTAGTTATAATTTTAGTTTCAATTGAAATTTTCGAAAATTTTGCATAAAAAATTGTTAGGATCTAATTTAGAAAATTTTGGTAAAAAGCAATTAGGAATCATGCTAAGTGTTATGTTTGATGATTGCATGAAGACCCAAATGTTTAGTCGAGCCTATACACGATATAGTGCATTTGTGGCCCCCTTTGTTCTAGTGAAATCATGGGACAAAAACATAACCTCGCTTAGTTTGAGGGATGCAATAAGTTTAGCATCGTGTACCAGAAATGTATCCAGGAATTTTTTTATCTTTAATCAATAAAGGTTGAAGTTGAGCGCCCCTGCTTAAGCATGTAGGGTTTTGAGTGAAAGAAAAAAAGTGAGGTACATGTAATAAAAAAAAAGAGAATTACAAGAAAAAGTTTGAAGAATTTTTGGAGTACAAAGTATGAAGATCAAAGATAAAAAATTCTGAAGAAATTCTAAAAAGTTGAAGATACCCAAAAATCAAAGAAAATCAAAAAGGTGGCAAATTTGAAGAATTCAAAGAAATCAAAGTTCAAATTATCAAGAAGGTGAAGAATTCCAAAAAGCTCCATAGTGGTATCGAAAAATTGTAATTTTTAGATTATGTATGCTTGGGTTGCTCAACCAAAAACACCTTGAGACTAGGAGGTTTTCTGCGGATGGATTCGGAGGGATGCATAAAATGAGCATTGTTCAAAAGAATTGGGCGAGTGTTTATGAGGATTGTGAGTATTTAAAATTGAGGGGGGTCCTTAGGAAAAACTTTAGACACAAATGCATGGGTTGGTTGGGTCTTGGCATAATGGTTGGGTTGATTGGGATTGTCTTATGTAGTATTAGTGTGTTAAAATTCAGTTTTGCTTGGGGGCAAGCAAAAGTCAAGTGTGGGGTATTTTGATATTTGCATATTTAGCCATATATTTAGTATAGATTTTTATCAATTATTAGCTAATTGTTTGCATATTATGGACAAAAGGTACTTAATAATGTTTAAATTGTATTTTCAGTCCAGAAGTCATGCTCGGGAGCAAAAAGGAGGAAGGAGATGCAATTAGAAGCTGCAGAATGAAGAAAGAAGTACAAACCTGAACCTACTCGGCGAGTCCAATCGTCTACTCGACGAGTTTCCACGAAGATTCGCGAAGCAACACGTAAAGTCCTTACCGTACACGGATTCTTCAAGGGTACTCGGCGAGTCGGTTGTCTACTCGACGAGTAGCCCCTGTTTTGAGTTATCTATAAATAGAAGCAATAAATCCGATTGGAGGATCTTTTCTGGCTTTTCTGGAAGATACTTTGCGACTAAGGAAACCCTTGGAGACCTGAAGAACGTGAGAAGAACCCTAATCTCTCATTCTTAGAAGATTCAAAGCAACTTAGGTTTAATTTTCCACTTTATCTTTGAATTGAACAATGTTTGAGTTGATTACTTTCGTTTTTAGCTTTTTGACTACTGTAATCATGAGCTAAATTTACTAGTTTCTGTTTAGGGAAGACAATTTTTACTCCTATGGATTGATTTTATGGTTTGATTAATTGTTAATTGGTGATTTTGTTAAATTAAGATTGTTAAAGATCCTTATGCATTAACCATAACTATTCTCTGTTAATAGGAAGGCAATTAGGCTGCATGAACATCTCTTAATTGTTTACCTCATATGATTTATGTGAACACTTTGTTATGTGCCTAGGACTAGTGAATATGAAACTAGGATTAATTAGAGAATGGGTAAATTAATATATGAGCTTGTTGATAAACCAACAACAAGAGGCTAATTGAATTAGTAATTTGATTAACCAATTACAAGTCTTATTTAATCCGAATAATTGAACTAGGGAATTAATTAGCTTAAACACTTGATCACTCCTTAAATTAATTGATTTTCTAAGGATTGGTAATAGCGAATGCGAATCTAATCACTTTAGTCGGTAACCAATAACAATTAATCTATTAAAATTAACCATAGGAGTGAATGAGTTGAACCTAAGCAGAAACCTCTTATTAAATTTGGTGAATTTTTACTTGGTTTTAGTTGATTAGTTAATTGCGTGTTAGTTAGTGTGTCTAAGTTTCTAGTCTTGTAAAACTAGAGAAAACCCTTTTACTTTTATTACTTGTTGGTTAAAATTAGTTATTAGGTTAACTTCCGTTCCTCGAGTTCGACACCCTACTTATTCAACTATACCACTAAAAGACAGGTTCACTGCCTTTGTGTGTTTAAATTATATTTTTAGAGTAGGAATAAAACGAGTTGGTTTTACACACATCAATCCCCCTCCTCAAAATGTGATTAATATATGATAATATAGGGTCTCTTAAGTCAAAACACGAGTTTGGGTAAAAATCCCGCGTTAAAATCATGAAAAACGGGCTTAAAACGAAGTTGGGGTCGAAAACCGGGAAGAAGCTGCGAACAGCCGAAGTCAGGAGGCGAGGTTCGGTCCATGGTGCTGAACAACCGAAAGCAGGTTCGGTCGGAGAAGGGTTCGGTTGCGAGGCTAGGATCGAAGGTGGTGGGAAGCGAAATAGACCGAACTCTGAAGGAGCGAAATGGACCGAGAGGCGCGTAAGGAGCCAAACCCGAAGGTGACTTCATTTCTAATAGGGACTTCGGTTCTAATAGGTTTCGGTTCTAATAAGTTTCAGTTCTTTAGCAGTTCGGTCCAAGCAAGTTCGGTTCTCACTAGGAGTTTCGGTCCATGAGAGGGGTTTCGGTCCAAGAGGCTTCTTAGGGTTTCGCTTCTTAGGGTTTCGCCTCTATGAGGGTTTCGCTCCTATAGAGTTGTTTTTCCGTTTATCTTCCCGTTTCGAGTTGTTTTTGACTAAATTAAGGGTCGGGATGCCCCGAGTGATTATAAAAAGTTGAGAGAGATTTTTGAGAGAGATTTCATATTCTTGGAGAGATTTCACATACTTAGAGAGATTTGGGAGAGATTTCACATACTTGGAGAGATTTCACCTACTTAGAGAGATTTGGGGGAGATTTCACATACTTGGAGAGATTTCACATACTTAGAGAGATTTGGGAGAGATTTCACATACTTGGAGAGATTTGGGAGAGATTTCACATACTTGGAGAGATTTGGGAGAGATTTCATATTCTTGGATAGATTTCACATACTTAGAGAGATTTGGGAGAGATTTCACATACTTGGAGAGATTTGGGAGAGATTTGAGATAGAGAGAGATAGAGCGAGAGAGATTTGAGAGAGACTTCGTTTGTGCCCTTTTTGGATGTTTAGCTTCGCCACGCAAGGTTTGTAAACCTCGCTAAGCCTCGTTATGAATGTTATACGCTCCCGAGGGGGTACAGCATAGTGTTTTACCAAGTAGTTTCATCCCTTATCCTGATTAGGGTTTGAGAATTCTGAACATATGAATTTTTCAAGTGATAACTTCTTATTAAAATAGCAAGTTGTACAGTAATAACATAATGTAAACCCTCATATACAAGGTTAATTGAGTTGACCGGTTTGACTTGTTGACTTTATTTGACTTTGACTTGACCAGAATTTGACGGTTGTCACACAAAATCAAACATGAATCTGGAAAACGAAGATGAAGAGGGGGAGTGCATGACAGGAAAAAAAAACTTACCATTCAGTTTTCTAATTTAGATCTGATCGACTGATAGACAGACATGATTTGTGTGTGTGTGCATGGTGGTTACGAAGGGAATAAGCAGGGGTGAGGCTAGGGTTTTCAGAAGGGTTTCAAGATTTAAATATATAGATAAATATGTTGAAGAAGGGAGAGACAAATAAATTGAGACATATAGAAAGACAATCCTTGATGGTGGCAACACTCAGTGGTGGAAGGCTGCAAAAATGTTGGGGCGAGATAGAAATCTAAGATCGAATGATGAGGTGGTAGTGTGGTGGGATCGTCTGGGGCAGGTGAAGGTGACCGACGGGGGGAGGTGGGGGCGACGATAGGTAGTTGCCCAAAATAATGACTTCTCTATTTCACTTTGTTGTAAATAAAAACCAGCATATGAAAGACAAATGTTAGAATCATATATGTTGTTTGGGGTTTGCGAGCGAAAGAGATTAAAAGGAAACACATTAATGCAAATAAAGGTTATACATCTATGAATGAAATGGAAAGGTGGAGATATAACAATAAGGGCCAGAAAAATGGGAATTTAAAAATTGAATTTTAAAAAATTTAATATATCCTCAGGGGATTCAACAAGACTCAATCGAGATTCAACAAGACTCAATCAACAATTAAAGGGATTAGGTGAAAAGTCTACTAAAATTAAGGAATTGTATGCGTTGGTTGATTGTACGTTCAGTTTAAAAACTTGAACGACTTAACATTTAATATTATTTTATTAATTGATTGTTGTACTTTAAGCTTAGAGGTTTTAGAGATTTGGACGTCTTAAAAATATAATATTATTATATTCAATCTATTTATAAAAATAGTTAGATTTCCTTTATATATATATATATATATATATATATATATATATATATATATATATATATATATATAAACTTTTCAGCTACTTATCCTCTCTCAAATGTACACCACCATTGTTGCAAATACTTTGTGTCTTAGCAACTATATATACTTTGTACCTTAGCAAGATGAAACTAGCGCACATAATTTATACTTGTCATTTATCATTGCGAGCCCAAACACAATAAAAGGTGAAAAAAAGGAGAGAGGAATTTTGATTGCAATTATGCTCCCAAGGAAGCTGGATGGTCGTACATCTGAGAAAGGAGAATGGACGCAGGTCAGGGGAAGGAAGAACAACCACAACTCAAGGAAGGTGATATCATCCTATTATGTCACAAACATTCCTGATGGAACAAGCAGATTCATCTTAAAAGAAGTTTTCAAACCTTTTGGAAGAATCTCAGATGTCTATATCCCCGGTAGAAAAGACAAAGGAGGTACATTTTTTGGATTCGTAAAATTTGAAGGTGTTTTGGATGAAGTCAAACTGGAAAAATCCATGCAAAGGGTGAAATGTGGGCAATGTATTCTCAAAGTTAGTATCTCAAAATACCAGAAGCAAGACAAAAAGAAGATATTTACATCAAATGACAGATTCGGTGATCCCCCGACTTATCCTCCTCCCACTCATCCCTCTAGCCGGCAACCGCAAAATGTTCGGGGTGCTAGTCGAGACGGAAGAACATTTTCCGAAGCAGTAAGCGCTCCTCTGAGATCTGGTCTCCAACCACCCTCCACTGTCGCCCTTAAGCATGTTCTGGCCATGGTGGGTTGGAACGACTGTGCTTTGGTCGGGGAAGTGACAAGTCTCCATCTTCTCACGGAACTCCCTAAACTAGTTGAGGCGGAATGCAGTTTCTCAAAAAAATTATTTTACGCAGGTGGAATGCGGATAGTTCTTCGTTTCGATTTACCAAAAGAAGCAGAAAATTTCTTGCGGGAAGAACACACTTGGAATCGATGGTTCAAATGGTTGAGATTGGGTGTGTTTGATGAGCCAAATATAGAAAGAATTGCATGGGTGAAAATCACCGGTGTTCCGATCTCTCTTCGTGCTGAAGAAAATTATACAATTATTGCTAACATCTTTGGGAATACCATACAAGCTGATGGACAAAACTGGCAAAATCTTGATTTATCATACGGAACAGCCTGCATCCTTACCTCCTCCTTAACAAGAATTAACAGCCACACCATCGGCACATTTAATAACAAGTCATACAATGTGGGTATTGTGGAATATGATTACAATTGGCACCCCTTTTTTCACAATACTGCAACCCCACAAGATGAAAGTGATATGGAAGAAGATGAAGAGATGAACGAACAATCAAACCATGAAGAAGAAGATGATTTCTCAAACAATGACTCAGAGGAAGAAGGTATATCAGACACATGGGATAACCAAGACACAGAGGAACTGGAGGAGGGAGAAATTAATCAACATGAGGCGCCGGAAGATTTGAATCTGATCGGTAAAGAGTTCGTCGACGGGGGTGACGCGGTGGTGACAAAGTTAGGCACGACATGCATTGGGATCTCGAAGACAACATTGAATGTTGGAGATGCTTCGACTCCCAGTGTTCAAATATTCAATCATGAGGTGGGAAATACCGATGTAATCGGCGGTGACACATACCTACACATCTCGAACATGGTGGGTACAACTGGGCTACCTTCTCCTAATTTTGGCACGACCCATTTAAAGTCACTTGGACCCCATATAATTAAACCCGATTCAAATGTTGTATCCACTCCATCGAATAAAAACCCAAACCATATAGATCCTATACCAGATTTTGAAATGGGTGATTCAATTGGAAAGAGAAGAAAGGTGGACCGATCTTTTGCCTCATTAATCACTCCACACAGAATCTTCGATCCCCCTCTCGGTGACTCCTCCCAACCGATCGGCGACACAATCCCAATTCAGTGCCCTTCAAAATCTACACTCTTTTCTCTTGATTTGAATAAACCTATATCTATTTCAGATTCTTCTATCTGTAGCATCTCCACTGAAGTTCGTTCCTCTAATAACGAAATTGATAGCACCATCAGAATTGGGAATGAAGTGGGAACAAAATTGATGTCCAACCTTTAACAATGGTGATAGCGTTGTCTCGAGAGCACTCAGATCACTCTCCAGTATTATTAAAGCCCTCCAACACTGATTTTGGTCCATCCCCGTTTAGATTCTTCAATTCGTGGCTGTTAAACAAAGATTTCAACGATGTCTTTGAATCCGCATGGAATAGTTTTCAAGGATATGGAACTCCCGACAGATATCTCCTGTATAAATTACGATTTTTAAAAGAGAAACTAAAGGAATGGAGGAAAATGGAAGTAATTAAAGAGACAGGTGATTTAAAAAAGTTAAAAGAGACGGTTGATCAGTTGGAGTTGGTAGCTGAATCTCGTCCCTTAACTGACAATGAAGTTGGGATAAAAAGAGAAGTAATGGTCATAATCAGAAAGCTTGAACAGGAAAAAAACTTGATTTGAAACAAAAAGCAAAGGTAAAGTGGATTATTGATGGGGATGAGAACACCTGGTTTTTTCACGGGATGTTAAAAAATAAATACAGCAAAAGTAGAATACATGGTATCAACATCAATGGAGTGTGGTCTTCTGATCCGAATACCATCATGAAGGAGGTGGTGGAGTTTTTTAGTGCCAAATTTCATGAACCGTATCCAGATAGACCGAAGTTGATTAGTCCACTTTTCAAAAAACTCCTACCATCTCAATGCTTTACTCTCGAATCTCCATTCTCAACTGAAGAAATCAAGAAAGCTATTTGGGGGTGTGGTACCGAGAAAGATCCTGGACCAGACGGCTATACATTCAAACTCATAAAGGAAAAATGGGGAGAGCATGAAAGTAGACATTATTCGTTACATCCGACACTTCGAATTAACTGGTACATTCTCAAAGGGTTGCAACTCGTCATTCATAACATTAATTCCGAAGGTGAAGGATCCGATCTCACTTGCGGACTACAGACCCATCAGTCTAATTTGATGCATTTATAAAACTGTTGCCAAGGTTCTAGCCAACCGTCTCAAAAGCGTTATTGGATCAGCAGTGGACGAAGCTCAATCAGCTTACATCAGTGGCAGAAATATACTAGATGGTCCCCTGGCTATGAATGAAATACATAATTGGGCAAAAAAATCCAAGAAAGCGATCTACTTATTCAAAGTAGACTTCGAAAAGGCATTTGACACAATAAATTGGGGGTACTTGGACTCAATAATGGAGCAAATGTCTTTTGGCAACAAATGGAGGAAATGGATTTTTGGATGTCTGTCTTCGACACGAGCTTCGGTTTTAGTGAATGGGACCCCCTCCGATGAATTCCCAATCACTAGGGGAGTTAGATAGGGAGACCCCCTATCACCTTTTCTGTTTATAATTGCAATGGAAGGGCTTCACGCTGCAATTCAAGGTGCGTCCGACAGGTCTTTAATTCATGGAGTAAAGCTTCCAAACAATGGTCCTACTATATCGCACCTGCTATATGCAGATGACGCCATATTTTCGGGCATGTGGGACTTGGGGAGTATTAAAAATCTATCTCGGATTCTTAAATGCTTTGAAATATCGTCAGGACTTAAGATCAATTTTCACAAGTCACGATTGTTTGGAATTAATGTCTTTGATTATGAACTTCAAAGTATGGCGCAAGTCCTGGGATGCCTTAAAAGCTCTTTTCCTTTTACATATCTAGGAGTGCTTGTGGGGGCCAATATGGCGTTAAAGAATAACTGGAAACCGGTAATTAGCAAATTCCATACAAAACTGTCAAACTGGAAAGCTAGTACTCTATCGTTTGGGGATAGGTTGACTTTAATTAAGTCGGTCTTGGGAAGCGTTCCTACATACTATCTATCTCTTTTCAAAGCTCCACAAGGTGTACTAGATGTTCTGGAAAGAATCAGAAGAAAATTCTTATGGGGTAGCACGGATGAGAAAAGGAAACTGCATTGGGTGGATTGGAGTAAGGTGGTTGCGGATAAAAAAGTTGGTGGACTAGGCGTAGGTACATTAAAGGCTCAAAACATTGCTTTGCTTACGAAGTGGTGGTGGAGACTAAAAAATGAAAAGGGACGTATCTGGATTGATGTCATCAACAGTATACACAATCTTGAAAACAAACCTGCAGTTTACCTTGCAAAGAGAAACGAAACTGGAGTGTGGAGCAACATCTCCAAAGCTATCATGAGCCTCAAGTCTTATAATATTGACCCAACGACTCTTTTTTCCCTTGTACCTAGTGGGAATGTGAAAATCCTATTCTGGAAGGATAATTGGTTTGGAGATATGCCTTTACAGGACAATTCCCACATCTATATAACCTTGAATCAGTAAAAAGGTGCTCACTGATGGACAGACTTTACAATACAAGCTTCTCGTGGAAATGGAGAATGAAAACAATGAACACAAAAGCTCGTATGGAACTTCATGAATTTTACAAACTTGTTGGATCCATTAATTTTGATTCACCATCTAAGTTTGGATTCTGTTTTAAAGCAAGCATGGACGAAATGTATGTGGTGAGCACCCTAAGGCGATTAGTGGATTCATATCTTAACCAAATCTCGGGACCCATGATTTCATGGTCAAAGGTTATTCCTTTAAAAGTCAAATGTTTTGTTTGGAGGGCGGCTATGGACAAAATACCAGTTACTGAGGCATTAATTTATAGGGGTATTGATGTTCAAAACAGGAACTGTCAACTATGTGGCACGGGTCATGAAACCACATCTCACCTGTTAGTTGAATGTGAATTTTCTAAGGTGGTTTACTACTGGATATTTCGATGGTGCGGGATTCAACAAATGCAATTCAGGAATGTCAGAGAACTCATTGATTTTGCTGCTTCATGGGGGAATTGTCCAAAAAAAAGGAACACGCTCTGCATGATTATATACTCCACCATTTGGAATATATGGATGACAAGAAATGATAAAATATTCAAAAAGATTGGTGTCAAATCCGACCAAAACTGCAGATTCTATCATACACCAATCGT